AATGACTGTCTCTGGGTCCCAATATAGATTTTTTACTTAGATAATAAAAAGTATGTGTCATCAAAGGTCAATCGAAACAGTCCGGGTAAATCGGTGAGTCACTGCTTTCTACGGGTCAGTGACACATGACCTTCTTGTTTTAATCTGGATATTTTGGTACCCATATTGGTAGTTTCATAATCAATCAATTAGACGCTCCACTGCTGGGCACGGGTTTCGTGTAAGAAGACAGTTTTAGGCCGCCACTGTTACGGTATGGAAGTTTCATAACGATATTTCGTTTAGTGTTAACAAGAGGTATTTGCTAAACGTTCACAAATATACGTAACTTAGAAATTAAAGTCGTAAGTATATAGCGCCACAGATTCGAACCATGGAACTCTAAATTGAGAAGCAACCGTTCCCCCACCAGGTTATCAGAGCTCTTTTAATATTGATAGTCTATATTAGAGGTTCCCAAAAGGTTCAAAACCTGGTAGACCACGTGGCAATTTCTTTCTATTTTGCGTAGATCCCCCGCCTTACTAATATTATTTTTTAACAAATTTATCAACTTCAAATGTATTTTTAACATAGTGCTAGTGAGAAACTTCCTTAAAAACATTGATGTTAAATTTTGAATAACTTTTTGTTGTAATATGTTTAAGTACTAAGTCAATTTATATGACTATTAAAAGAAAATATTATGTATTTATATAGGTACTAATCTGTGTAATGTGGATTATTCCAATTATGGAAAGCCAAAATTTTGTTCACGATCCGCCTAAATGGTTTCCACTCTCGTGGACCCCTTAATGTCATCCACTCTCAAATTTTTACCTTGACATGGACCCCTTGTAGGTTATAGTCGACCCCTAGAGATCGGTATAGACCCCTTAGGGAATCATTTGTCTATATCAACTCATTTGATGCGAAATGATTCGTTGCTGGACACGATATTCTTTTAAGACGATGGTAGGTACAGACTCTCCTAAACTACCCGTAGAGTCATTTGAACATTTCATATCATGTCTTCTGGTTTTGGTCTAGTACAGTGCCGGGGCGTAACTAGACGAGACTAAACGTAAACTTACATGTTTATAGTTACCTCAAAAGTACTTTACTGCTTACGACTGCATATTTCGCGTAAGGGCTACGCTATCGTGTCCGTATCGTTATAAATTTCACTCTTGTTACGGCATTAGAACATTTATTTGTGTTTAATTAGTTATTTATTATATTATTGACGTCCTTCATGGTTGCACGTCAGTTCTCATGGTGTCGTCATCTCCGAGGTCTCGGGTAAGATCCCCGGCCGGGTAATATAAAAATTAACTTTTGTTATTGTCTCGGGTCTGGGTGTTTGTTGTACCATAGTTGTTTCCAATTTCCATAACACAAGTTGTAGCGGACTGTATCAATGGGGTTCGGTTTCAATGGGTGCTATCGAGGAGCGAGCAAGACCTAAGATAGTGTATTTACAGTTTATTTAAACGACAGTATACAGCTACTACGAAAAACAGAAACAATAGTGACAATAAAAGAAAAAAGCGCTAAAAACAAGTACATTTAAATTTAGAATTTCAATAACGCACACGCACACTATCAACATAGCCCCGCATTAGGGAAACCGTATCGCGGGTGCCATGGACACACTCATAGACAACCACAAACTACACCCAAACTCACGAGAGAAATAAATGTAGGCCATACAAATATTTCTCCCGGCCCGGGAATAGAATTTGGGACCTCTGTGTGGCAGTCCGGCATGGTAACCATTCGGCGACGGAGGCAGTTAATATAAAACTGTTAAAAAGACTACATAAAATATAAACAAAAGAGATTTGTAGCGACGGCTGTGATTAGCTACACCAGCACTTTAGGAAATAAAGCTACTTTTTCGGATCTAAATCGCATATATTTATTTTTTGAAACAAACTAACGCTTCGGTTCCATTGCAGGTCCCGTGGTCACGACTGATAAGTGCTTTAGTTACTTACTTTGGGATCAGAGCAACGTATGTGATGTTGTCTAATATTTAGTGTTAAATTTTTTACTTTCCATTTCAAGGAAACTTCCATTACCTTACTATAAATTTCACTCCAGATACGGCACATGAAAATTATCTTTTGTTAATTAGTTATTTATTGTTAAGTTAATTTTTTACTTTCCACTTCCATGAAACCTCCATTCGGCCTTAAATTCCACTGTAGCTACGGCGTATAATTTCCTTATGTTGTCCCTCTTTTTTATTTTCTACTGTGAAGACAAGTGATAAGAGAACTCACAATGTAATCAGCGATTGCAATACTTAAAGACTTTGTGCTGAAGATCTAGCACAACACGCATTAATTCACGTGTTACACTGATACATTTTCCTTTAATCTTTCTCGCTTGTAATATTTATTTTAATGAAGGCCAGTCAAGGCAGGCGGGTGGCCACGTTGGCGTATGACTCACAGCTTTCCACCGGTCGATGACACGCCGCCTCTCTCCCTGACTCCCTGTCCCATGGGCGTACTGTATTGCTTGTTAAATTAAAACATTGCAATATTAAAATAGCCCATATTACAAAAAGTTGACAAACGTTCAAGGACTTCAATAGAAATGTCTTTTCGAAACCTAAAACAAATATGAATTGGAAATGAAACTATTTTTCCGGATTTAAATCGCGTATATTTGTTCGTTAAAGGGCCCGAAACGTCGCTTAGTTTGAAAAAACAAATATACGCGATTTAAATCCGGAAAAATAATTTTATTTCCTATGTGTAGCAATCGCGAAAACCTAAGAACTCGACAAATATGAATTATTATTGATTATTTTAGTTTTTTTTCTTTTCTAAATAAAGACAGAATCAAAAAAATTTACGATGATTGTATATACTTATTGTTAAATAAGTAGTCTATATTGATTGTTTTAAGTTATTTTCTTTCATATATTGTTATTCACAAATTCTGTGTTAACTCGACTTGCACGTATTTCTAGAAAGTTCAACCCAACTCTCTTCTTGGACAATACATGTCATCGGAAGTTTAGCGTAAAACATAACACTAATACACAATATTATACAGGTTGTCAGTCAAAAGAGCAATATTACAATTACTTATACACTCATTTAAAAAAAAACGGCAAATAAGCAAATAAGCTATTCCACTGTCACCTGCAGTTAATTTGATTATTTAAGTAACTTGTATCCTCAGAATCTTGTGAATGAACATACGGAAAGTGGTTTCTGAAAATTTTTTCCACGAGCTGGGCTGCGTATATTCCATACGCTAATGTGTACTGTACACCTCTCACTTCCTCAAGGTTCTTCTTGAGGAAGCGATCATCCTGTGGTTCGGTGCATGGTTTTCTTGTCGGAACCAGTCTCTTGATTTCGTCGCCAAGTCCTCTGAACTGTCAAACGATTCACATTGAGCCTCTGGGACACATAACATTGAGAACAATTTTCTTCTAGTAGCGCTATAATTTTGCTATTGTCTTGTCAACCATTTTAGGAACCTCTTGGTAATGGTACACTAATTTAAAATCATCAATTAAACGAGATAACTCATTAAAAATTATGTAAAAGTGATGTAGAGTTCTTATTATTGAAAACTTTTAACAATTCCCGCGGTTTTTATTTTTATGCAGTGAAGAGTAATTTTCTTGTAGACGGGTCATGACGGGTGTTATATCTTAAATTTGAATTTGGAACAAACGTGTCTATTTTTTATTATTTTTATTTATTTATTAAGGCTTTGGCAAAGCCATCAGCCCAAACATGAAGTTTAAATATGTTTCTGTAAATATGGCCGCCACAAAGAGGATAGGCAATTTGAGGCGGCGTGCTTGGATTGACTCGGGATTCCTTAAAACGGGCCGATACGGGTATTTTAGTTCGAGATTCGTATAATTTCGCGTTTTAATCTTCGATTAAGGCACACTAGCACTATCCTATTCCACTTTGAACTATATTTCACAAAATAATTGAAAGTCAAAATAAAAACGACACTTTTCCCTCCAATAGGTCCAAAGCGAATCTCAAACGTGTCTATTAATGGAAAAAGTCAAAAGTGCACCTTGTCTTTTTTTTGCGAACGAGTTTAAATCTTAGATTTTTTTCCATCCTCTAAGGTTTATATTCACGAACAGCATAAATCTAATATATGAAAGTAAGTATATGAATAACAAAATTTTGTGAGTTTTCTAAAAATTTAAAACAATGGTAGTTTTTATTAATACGTACCGTTGTATCAATACGTTATTACATTCTAGAGTTTCTAATGCGAGTTTAGTCCTAGCGCTTGGTTTTTGACCCCATCAGCCATGAATGAAATATATATACAAAAAATATAACTGTGTTTTCACAAAAATACATTTGCAGTCCGCAATAAACATATTCGTGTAACATTGCATTTAATAATTTATTTCTTCAGTTGAATCTGTGTTTTGTAAGCAGATTATGAGTCATTTTAAATGTAGATCATAGAGCGTGAACAGGTTAGATGCGGTATCTAATCACAATGGCTATAGTAGGTAATGATTTTGGTTGTTGTAGACTGTTTTTAAAATATATTTTATAGTAATGACGAGTAGGGCTTATAATTGGTATTGGACATGCTGGTATCTTCACGTAAAGCTAGGGGTAATTATGAATTTTTATTAAAAAAAAACCAACCTGAAAAGTTAGTGGAACTACATCTATTTGCCAAGTTTTAAAGTGAGTGAAATCCAATAAACCGGATTCATTTCCCGTTTGCCACCCTTAGAGGTGGAATATTCTCTTTAAATTTGAATGGGACAACTAATGACGTACCCCCTTTCCAATAAAAACTAATGAGAAAAGTTGTGAACGAGGTTCACAAATTTACGAGTAATGAAGAAACATACAAAAAAGAACTGTCAAATTGAGAACATCCTCCTATTTTGAATTGGTAAAAAATCTAACAAGATTTTTGTCAAAACTCAATACCAATAAAAATGAAACAATGATTATAACATGGCATATACCTATTTTAATTGTAGTATAAAAATCGGTTGCTTATAAAAACAGTGACAATAAGTAACTAAACTAGAGTAAGCAGTTTATTTTCTTTAAAAAAAATTTACATTTTCTACCTTATTCGGATAAAACTTAATAGTAAGCCGAAAGTATAACTATGTATATCTATACAAGTAACTATTTTATTTTCGTAATGACATCATAAGTTTAAAAAGTTACATTTATTATTATGACATTACTTTGGACCTTTAATAAAAGCACCTTCGAAACTTTTACGCAACTTAAAATAAAATTAAAGAAATTTACCATAAAATATGTCTAAAATCAAACTAAACCAACGGTAATGGTTTAAAAGCAAGGATAACAAAGTGACGCATTCTGAAATCCATTATATTTTTTCACACAAGTGATCGCTTAAACATCCACTCACGGAAAAGCTTTTTAAACTTATGATTTTTCCTTTATTTATGACTTAATAGGTATCATACCTATCAGAAAACAATCAAAATGAGTTCAAGAATTTTGGAAAAAAATAGCAACAAAAACATACATAGGTACCCATTTAGGATATATACATTAAACTTTATGGTTAGACGTAATAAATATACAACCTTTAGGCAAACGTCGATACGTGAGCGAAAATAATAAAAAGTAAAATCATCTTTCATCTGTATCGGGGATAAAAAGAAACTGCACAAATTTCATTGAATAAATTTACAATATTTAGATTAAAAAACAACATAAGTTAGGTAGTCACAAGGCGTTGAAGGTAGGTGTTTAGTTTTTCTTTTTATAATATAAACGTAGAAATAACAAGATTTATTTCCGTTGCTTGATCCTATAATCATTGAACACGTATCGGTACCTGTTGTTACTTTACTTTTTAATTGTTGCCGTAGTTTGTTTTTTTTGTTCTAAAGTAACCAAATTTCCGTTACTATAGAATGATAAGCATTTAGTTCTTATTTGTTGAGTTATTGTTTCAAGTATAAGTAAATGCCCACAAGAACTATTGAACACAGCGCCATCTAGTGTCAAGTAACGGAACTCCAAAAGCAAAATTCATATTGTTGTTTATATTATGTAGATTATGATCTAGTATGATCGTGTCCGACATTACTATCTTACTAATTTCGAAAAGTTTTCTAATTTCGAAAAATTCTAATTTCGTTTGATAATGATATCAAATCGTGACGATGGCTGTGGTAACAAAGCAGCTAGGTACCATTTCCACTAGTTTGTTTCTTTCATGTTTATTTTTCACCCCGTATTATCTAGAATAACAGTTATCTAGGGACGGAGTAACTTAATATAAATTACTATAAATAGATCGATACTAATCTATATTTACAAAATGTTCTATAATTAAACTTATTTAAACTACATGGATTATTTTGTACGAGTATTTTCGATTTAATGAGTTTAACATCACCATACTAGGAAATTATAAGCAAAAAAATGTCAAGAATAACTTTTATATTATAAATCGCCAGGCTAAATAATGGTTTTATTTATGCTTTAAATAAGTTTGTTTTTGAGTTACTAATAAGTAATTCACGACTAAAAGTAACTTACCAAAACGAAAAACTAGTTAGTTTTCATAAAATTATTATGCAATTAATTCACACGTATGAGATTAACGTTAACGAACCATACCTATTCAGTTGTCGAAAACCTCAATTCTTATAAATTCATGCATTGCTTTATCACAGCGGCAGCGTTTACATTACTAGTAACCCATAACAATGGCAATTTTACATGAGAATGTACCTGAAAACGGAACTATATCCGTATTATGCCTATTCATAAAATATCAAAAACTGTAATGGAGCACTGCCAAGCCAAGCAATGGTTTCGACACTGATTTTAAAAATATGAGTAACTGTGCAGTTCAAAAATCTTGAAATTAGTATCATGTATTCGAGTAGGTACAATATGAGTATAAAAATGATAACTTAAACTACTGGATACATCTCAAGAAGCCCTAAAATTGAGTCCATGTGATCATGTGTAGCAGTTGTCTTCATCAGCGTGGTCGGAACAGTCGATGGTGCCATCGCAAAGCTGCGCCAGATTAATGCAGCGGCCGTCAACGCATCGCAGCTCTCCGCTTGGACATGGTGACGAATGACTTCGCCCGCCTGAAGTAGAAATCGCAGGGAAATCATCGTACGCCATACGGAACGGCTCTGTGCTTATTTCAGCTGCCCTTTTAGCTTCCTCTGCCGCTTTCTGAAACGAATATTGATCAAGTGTTTAGTAAGAAAGCATAGACTTCGTGTTATTTAGTAGTCTACTTCGTTATTATTCGTAGTCTCTTTAAACACGGTTCTGGCAGAATACCAGCGTCGTGGGAAACCGCGGCATTTATGCTGAGCCAGTGCCTTTTCACTGCCATAACTTCGAAAACTATTTACTTTAATTAGTTAGATGTTACTAACGTAACTACACAGTTATACATCCTTTTGTTATAAAAAATTGTTATTTTAAGTGGTTCATTATAATAATAATTATGGTGTTAATTTTAGTGGATCCTATGTAAAGAAGTAGTCATGGAAGTGAATAAAGTTTTTATCTATCTATTTATTTATTACTCAATTTTTTAAATGTTAGTTTTATTATCGGTTCACAAAACTGGATACAAATTCTTAAATAAAATAACATATAACAGTGTTTGTTTTATAGCGGTTCTGTCCCAACAGACGAATGAAGTATGAAAATAAAACATACCCTCAACAAAGCAGCACCATCTATGATCCTTTCATACTTATTACTTTTATCGAGTTTAGTGGTTTTTGGCGGTGGAATACCGTCGTCATCGATTATTTCAGTTTGTGCTTTAGGTTTTTGTGTTGAGTGTGTTTTCTTTGGTGCAGGATCCGAATAACCTGAGGGATACGGAGCACCACCCATTAATGACGCTTTTTCACGTTCCCTATACTGTTTCCTTTGCTCTTTGTTGTCTTTGGTGAATTCTTCAAAAAGACCCAAATCTTCTATATTAATATTGTCGTCACTGTAGATCTTGTCGTCGAGCTTAGCATCAGGTCTTTTTTTATGTGACTTCGCGACTTGTTCTTCGCTTTCATTGTTATCATCGCGAATGGGAGGCTCACGATGCTTTGGTCGGTAAGGTGTAAGGCGAGAAGGTGATGGACGACGAGTGAAATTTCTTCTAAAACCGTTGTTGCTATCGCTCGTAATGAGTAATTCTTTGCTGTCATCACCTGATAATGTTTGATTACATTAGATAAACAAAAACACATAACTGACTAACTAAACAATGATTTAAAATACATACCTCTGAATTGACTCCTAGTGCGTGCCGTTGGCAAGTGATTAGGGCGACGCACTGAGGGTGCAGGTGCTGAGCCTACAGCCTCCTCGCCTTCGTGTTCTTCAGAAGCGGCCGCCGTCGGATTTCTCTGAGAATTCGTCTGTTTACACAAAATGCTGTCCTCATCATCGCCATCCGGGCAGTCGTTATAGCCGTCACATATCCATTCTTTTTTAACACACGCACCAGATGTAGGGCATCTGGAAATAATAAGGTATAATAAGGTAGAATAGAATTTTGTTTATTGTAATATAATTTTGTTTATTGCAACCATGGTATAAATATAATAAATTCAGTCTTTACAAATAAATAATAGTATCGTAACTTACGAGACTACGTACTTTTTCGAACTACAGGAATAAACAGCGTTTTACGAAAAAATAAGAAATTTTCATATGAAATTGATCAAAAAAACATATACACTCATCAAAACTATCTAGAACTGAAGGTATTTTTGTTTAATATTTGATTACTTTACTAAAATTAAACAAAAATAACCATATAAATTTGTTAAACTATTTAATTTTGGTGTTTAGTACTTTGCAAAAACGTGCTTCATCCCTAAACACTTGATGTGTGTAGTAGGTAGGTCCGTCGAGAATTACGAAACTTACTTATATTGTCCTTTCTCACAGGTGATGCAAGGCTCTTCGTCATCTCCAGTGGAGCAGTCGCGATTGCCATCGCACATCCAGTCGCGGGGCACGCAGGTCCCGTCCCTGCACTGGAGCTCGCGTCTGCCGCATGGGCTCCGAGCGCTGATGCAGTTGATGCTCGGATACTGATTGCATTTGAAGGCATTCACTAACTCACGAGGAATGAACTCATCGCAGTAGTCCATGACAGCTGAAAAGTGTTGTAAAGGTCTTGGTAAAAAAACAATGATAATATTCAAAGATAGATACGGTTAATACATTTTTAATAGGTTTGCCTATAAGGCAAAAAGAAACAGCCACACATAATACATACCCTTGCAAAGGCTAAAGCAAGGCATCTTGGGCGGAAACGGTGGTGGGTTGCACTCGGGTTCCAGCAAAGAACATAGGAACTGTCTGGCGCGGATACTGCAATTAGTGGCAAGCAGATACTCCATCTGCGGTAACATTTTAGCAATAGGCTTTCCGTCCAGAGTAGGCGCCGGTCCAGCCAGGTCATATGGCAGCACGCCACGACACATCGCTTGTCGTGGGGAGTGGCATTGTGGAACTGCAATTGTATGAGTAAGATTTTCACTATGTAATCAATCAATCACGACGAATAAAAAGTTGACAGCGACAAAGATAGCATTTACAATACCAACAGCCAACTTCCAAATGAAAAGAAAATATACGACACATTTACACAGTTACAAGGTGCAAGCTACGTACTTAAGTTTTGTTAGTAGTTTCAAGTCCATGTACTGTTTTTCATTAGTCATAGGCACTCCACATACATACTCCACACCGCAGATAATTATCACATGCGCCCTTGTCTTATATAAACTGAACATGTTGCTTACCATCGGCATTTGTATTTATGGGGTACTTTTTAGTCGTAGTGTCGTCCCCATCACGCCACGTTGGCAACGTTGGTGATACTCTTGTGTTGTACAGTGAGCTCTGCGTGGTAGATTTCATCTTTTCCGCATCCTCAATGCCGATACCAAAAAATTTTGAATGACCTGAAGTGAAGTTAAATTCGACATTTTTTGCCGGGGAGTTATTATAAGGCAGAATATCAGCCGTATAGTCGGATTCCGGATCTTCGTCAGCTGGATATCTTGGTTCTTCAGGAGTATGTCGCCTTGGCGGTTGAGATGCGTAATAAATTGGAATCTCATCTTCTCTATTGTCGACCGAGTAGTCGCTAGTTGTTTCTGTAATTGTTATTGTCTCTGTACTAGGGCTTGTTGTACTTGCGTTGGTACTTCTGATTGTACTTGTTGATACTCGTTTGAAGTAAACTGATAATGGCTTTTCAGGTTTTAGAGTTATGTGCGGCTTCACTGTGGAATCGTGTGCTGGCACAATGATTTTCTCAAGCAATTTTGGAGATCGCAATTTGTTTGTATCCGCATTCTCATTTCCGTACTGGACTTCAGGTGTTATTCGTGTGGGGAAAACGGGTACAACAGGAATCTTTTTCATTGGTTTCCTGTCCGTTATACTTTCAATTATTGAAATCAATTGCATATTTTTCCCAGTCTCAGCGTCATTGAAATCTATCTCAGGTGTTTTTGCTCCTATAATAGTAGATGGAATAACAAAACAACAAGTTAGTTATTAGAAAATTATATACTTAGTTAGTAAACTCCAATAGCTGATTGCAATATTCCTGTGCATTGCACAAACAATAAGTCGTGAATAACTAAACTTGTACTTGTTAAGTTCTTTGTCATATAAATGAACTTATTCTGTAGAGAACATACCTAGAGCTAACTACGTAACAACCACATAAACACCGAGCAAATCCCGTAACATGTACTAATGTAAATTGATGACATTATTCTGTTTACGTTACCAGGTTTCTTTGTCGGTTGCGTGGTAGATAACACATTTGTGGACGTCGTCTGCAAGCCGACACTTCGATCTGAGGTATCTTGTAGTTTTTCTTTAGGTGGCACATTAGGGTTGGTGTTCCAAAATGTGCTATTCACTAGTTCTAGTTCCGTATTCATGTGGTCTGTAATCAAAATGAACTGTTGTTAGAGAACGTCTGACTTCTAAATACAATGTACGTACAGAGTATCAAGGAATAGTTTTTGCTTATATTTTTTTGCAGGCGTCGGAATCAAATGTGTAAAAAATCTGATAATAATGTAAGCGCAAGGCGTTCACTTGATGTTATAAAAAATTCGCAGAAAATTATCTACATAGTAATTACAACAAGCAAGAACTAGAAAATGCACGTCTTCATACAAAACGTATTTCGATAGAATTAACTACCTATTTTATTATTTTATGAGCGATGAACCAATTTAAAAAGTAATAAATGTATACATATTAAGTTCTTGTATATAAGACCATTGGTTCACCTAGAATACATAATATCTATGCCTGCTCTGCATAAAGTCTTAATATTACTTATTCAATTATTGTCATAAATTTAAAATGCCATCGTGCTTAAATTATTTCTAATAAAAAATTTAAAGGCCGCCGCCTTTCGACATTTAGTAAAGGAAATAATAAACTAGTAATGTCAACTAAGAAAAAGTCGTATGTTAATAGTTCCTAGTACTTGTACTGAATAAAATAAGTAGATACAGTCACGTGCATTAATATGAATACCATAGATATAGGAAAAAAGGGGAGATATGTAATGACGCTATGTAAGATCTGGTACCGATGTCGCCACTTTTTGGCTGTGTGCTATTCAAACTTTACACTCTATTATCTACTACCATAACTTAAAGTTTTTGATTGGGTAGGGCTTAAAACGTGAAAACGATGTAACACAATTTTAAAATTTAACAAAATTAAACTTGCAGTCACTTAAGTAAGAGTTACATTGCAATATTTCACTATTTTTTTCATCCTGGTGGTTTCATCAGGTGGCGTTTTAGTAAAAATGCTACTAATATACAATAGCTAACTATTGCACGTTAGATGGCGCTGAAACTCATTTATCGTTACACTAAGAACTCACGGAGCGGTTTTCACCCGCGTCTGCCGCGGGACCGCAGCATCTGTAGAGTGTAATAGTTAAATATGTAAAATTAGTAGCACATTTCACGGCGCGTTTTACGCCTGTAGTGGAGACGGTTGCTCGCGGTTGCCGCGGCGGGGTACTAGTTGAACCGCGTAGAACGCGATCACCTGCGCGCTTGACGGCCGTCGTCGCCCGCGCATTTTGGCGGTCGGTTCACGCGCAATGTGGTGCAGGCGCACGCGGTGTGAGTTCTCTATTAACCGCGCGATTTGCTATTAACTCCCACAAACTTCGCGGTCCGTTCTGCAATCGCAACGGTTTTGAGCCCGCAACCGAGGCGGCTACATGTCCACACAAACTTGCAGGGTCGTGAGTATTTAAATAAAACCACCGTCTAGCAGCACCGGCAGCATATTCCTACGGCGGGCGCGGATGGAAACCGCTCCGTGAATTGTTAACCTTATTAACCTTAAACTGACGCTACTCCACGAGGGATGTGGTTCTACCTAATCGATAGTTAGAAATCATGTGGCTGTTTTTAATATTAAATAAATATTCCATTTTTCATACTATACCTACACTAGTACTGGTGTATTATTAAATTTATATATTAATATAAATTATTATTATTTTCTTAATGGCGGCCACTAGACTTCGGCCAATGTCAGGTTTATAAGAATAATATAAAAAATATGGCGATCGTCGCCAGTGTCCGTTTTCCATTATAAGTTACCACGGGTTGGTGAAGTTGTCACTGTCAAGAGTAAACTCGAACCATCAACAAATTTAATAAATTAAATTATGTTTTTTTATGAAGGATTTATGTAATTTTCTATAATTGTTTCTTATTTACTTTGTATGCACATGTAAAATAAAGCCGATTTAATTTTATTTATTTTTTAAATGCATTTGCTATTGAAATTTAAGCAAAGTCAGATATCGTAATAAGAAAACCAATCTATCGATTTTCCTGCAGCTTCAATCCAACCTTCTGTTATTTCGAACTCATTGGAAAAACTTAAAAATTAAAAATACTCTACGTTTGATCTACAAGTATAATGGAATTTGAATATCCAAAACAAATATATATATATATATATATATATACACATACATTTTTCTTTAAGCAACAGCAACATTCAAATTGACCTGAAATTGAAACGGTTGTCCGAAATATAAGTTGTGTTAAAGTTACTCGAAATAAAATGTTTAGTAATAGTAATAATAATAAAAGAAAAGAAATTAATTTAACGTGAATGCTTTTCGCTTCGATATTTTAGGGACTTTAATTACAAAGATCACAGTAAGAAATTCAAACATTTCAGTAAAAATGTATTGTCGATAAACATCAGTCATCGTAAACATCACTATATTTGAGTCTAGAAATTTCTATGGAGACAAAAAGAAAACATTGAATAATAATAGAAATAGTAACTAAAAATGCAATAACCGGTGGAATTAACATGAGATAACTCTCACTGGTTTTAAAATTTTAGTTTTCACTCTAATTTTTACAAGGTGTATCGCTACAACTTGGCATTTTCACGTTTTACGAGAGATTTTGTATGTACAACGATCGCCATATCACTGTGACGATGTTTGTAGGCGTGTCACCTCGATATGATCATTTTGATCACAACGAGGCCACACGAACCACGCCCCCATACCAAATCTCCCCTTTTTTTCTATATCTATGATGAATACACGTATATATCGTCTGTATAAAGATAAAACCACATAAGTGACAATTTCCACAAAGTCTTTAATTTATATAGCTATGGTAAGAAAATCACTATATTTCTGCACGTAAAACTAAATAACAAAAAAATGCTATAAACTTCGACTCTGCAGAGAGTGGTGAATGATGGATGGTGAATTTCTTATAGCTGGTACATAGTTTGGAGATTTTTTTGTGGAAAATGTCACTTATGTGGTTTTACCTTTGAGCAACCGATATCTCAATGTAGAAAGTATTTCCGTAGTGGAACTTCTGGTCGATTTGTGGCTTTATTCCGAAATAACAAATACTACAACAGTTGTCTTTTTCGAAGACGCAGTAAAATGACAGTTCATTGCGCAAAAGTGTTGCCCGCTTACAAGCAGCTAGTGATTGCAGACGATAAATATTCTATCGACTATCAACAGAATATTGGTCACGCTTACGGAATAAATAGCCGAACGTGTTTCATTTGAATTATCCTCGACCCATTATTCATCCAATTACTGAGCACATGTTCATTTCAATTGTCAGTTTATGTAAGTTTAAACTATTTACAGTTCAAAGTAGTTAAAACTATGTTTATGAAAAATACAAATGCATATTTTAACATACTTTAAACTTTTTCATTGAAATTCAATATAGATAATCAAAGTCGGCTATTCTAGTTAAAATGAATATGAATTAAAATTGATCTCGATACTAGTAGGTCAACTGTCAAAGTAAGAATAAACAATGCAATAATGCAATTAGTAATTATTAGAACGTCGTAACATTCACAGTTCAGTCATTTTTGGCAAAATGTTATCTTCTTTCACAATCTATCGATAAAACTATCGACAACAACTACGTAACCATTTCAAATTTTATGAAAACTGGCAACCCTACAAATTACATTTTACTATGTCTTCAAAAAAGATGGACTATAATACTAAAGTAATTGCTTAATGTACGTATTACGAGAAAGCAAATTAACTACGTAATATAGCTCATATACATAGCGATATAGGGTCCAGGAAATATGGCTAGCAATTTCTTGTAAATAACATATTACGAATGATGTGATGCTCCAAATGCTAAAGCGATCTGACGTAACTTGGGAGGAAGCTGTGCGAGCTACCGCCGCTGTGGCGAACGGTCCAGTCAACAGAGACCCATTATTCGTGTTTTGAGGGTTAACTTGTTATAACCTTACTGTTAGTTAAACGATTGAAGGTTTTGAAGTAAAAGCGTGAAGTTTCAACGCTTCTTTGAAGTGAATTAATCGATTAAATTAACAAGCCACACAATCATAGGAGTTAGTTAATTACTTCATATGACAGTTCGAACAAAATAATTACTTTTAGTTTGAATATTCTGTAGTGTTTTTAATCCGAATCCAACGAAATTTAGTGTAGTCCGTTTCTAAAATAATCAACGACGTGAGAACTTCTAATAAATGTCCAGAATGTTTTACCGCTGAGACACCGAGTGCGACAAAGTGCGTTTCCAACTTTAAAGAAAAGCAACTGAAACCCTTATACCGGCCCTGTCATCGAAGAGGCGTCCGCGCAGTGAAAGCTAGGTTCAAGAAGTCACGAGCGCAGCGCGGGCGCACCTCGCCCTACAGGCTTGGTATCCGTCATTAATCCTTATCGGGTTGTATAATAACAATTTAATATGCATAAACGGATGCTCCTGTTTTTGATGCGCAATAAAGTCGTTTCAAGCTTTCGCATTATATCATCTGATTCAAAACTTGATTACCTGTCAAAAATGAATAAATATGTGGACAATATAATGATGCACAATATAGGTGTAAGAAGGCACTTACGTCAACAGGTGGACCGTTTCGTTGTGAATGAAAAAAACAGTACAAACATGGCCATTCTGTACGGTAAATAAAGATCAAAATTCTACATAGCTAATTTATTTTTATCCCAATAAATAAGCAAAAATGGTCATTATACACAATAATCACTTCCGCAACGTGGCAACGGTAATTTATTTACTCAAATACGTATTAATTGCAATAAGTTTCTAATAGATATATGAGTGCTATAATGACATCAGACGAGTGTCACCGCCGCCGGTTAACTTATTAGAGCGCGGCTGTACGGATACCTTCTTTGCCATTAAGCACCTCTCATTCCTCAAAAATGTTCAATGCTCGATTAGATACAGTAAAATATAATCCACATCCTCTTCAATTCTTGTAACCTTGTCGAACTACAAGAATTGGAGAAGATGTGGGTTGTATTTTTCTGTATCCAATCGAGTTATAAACATTTTTGACGTAACTACACTTATGCCTTTCTTCCATGAGGGGTGCATACCA